TATATATATATATATATATATATATATATATTCCGTATACACCAAGTAATCATAAGGAGTACTAGGTATGGTCCAGGTCATAGTATACAAATTCAATACACCGTTTTCTAGTACAAAACATACTTTTCAAATAGAACATTGGGTAAACAAAACTAGAAACTTACCAGTAAAGGTTTAATCCATTTATTTAAACGAGTATAACTTAAAGGACCTTAGGTGGTTAATTCTATAATACCTTAGTTTATACATCAGGTTTATATATAATTAATACCCGATAGGTAGTTGGATGTGTGCTTTCCGCCTTACTTCATGTTCCTTGTTTGGTTGTGGGCTTAGGGGAGATTCACACAACTAACTATCTTTTCAATATTAGATTATATATAGCTAGTATAAACTAAGTGATTATAGAAGGAAGTATTGTGGTTACCATTTTTACTAAAAGAAATAAGGGTTTTCTTAAAGAATATTTTCTTCAAATAATAAAGGAACTATTACAGTTAACTCCGTGAGTACCAAGTGAATACGCCATGATTATATAAAACGATGATCTAACAAACAATGGGATGTGTTCCTTCCGCCTCATTTCCTGTTCCTTGTTTGGTTGTGGGCTTAGGGAAGATACACACAACCGATTGTTTGTTTACTCTGGGTTTTATATAACTTGTATCCATTTAGTACTCATAGAAAGAATTGTAGAGTCATTTTACATATCTTTCATCAAAGCAGGAAATATAGGAGTTTCTGGAGGAACATGCGAACTTTTCTAAAAGAACTTACAACTTACATTACATCACTAAAATCTTATGAACTCACCAGCTTAAATGCTGATCTACTCTTTCAAAATAACTTGTATTCTCAGGAAACCAGTAGACAGGTACGCGCACTGGGATTCGAAAGATGGAGCATAATAGCTTCATGTCTTGTTTTGTTATTTACTTTGTAGTCTATGTTATGTGAACCACATACTTTGTAAATACTTTCTTTCTAATGAAATGGTTGTTTGTCACTTTGATTACTATGATGCATGTCTTGTGATACTAAACATGACGTCCTTTGCCCCCGAACGTTTCCACCGTTCCGGTTTGGGGGTGTGACATACACGGGCCTTACCCTAAAGCCCGAGCATTGTCCAAGGACAATTCTAGCCAAACTTCTGGTCAAAGTCAAAGTTAACAACCCATGTTGACCAAACACGCCGTGTTGCCACTTGGCTGCGTCGTGTTCCGACATCATCTGAACCATCTGGAAAATCGCAGCCAACATGCCGTGTTGGCTTGCAAACACGCCGTGTTTTCCCGAGTTTCAACAGCTTAACCAATAAGCACTTAATCCTTGAAGACATAACCCTAAAACATAGATCTTACCTCCTTGAGCTAGAAAACCACGTAAAGTTTCCAACTTTATGTTTATACATGCCTAAATGAAGCTCTTAAGCTTAAAAAGGAACTTAATGCATGCATGGGACCAATTCTCCTCAAAAAGCCTGCACCTTTAAGCTCAAGGGGTCCAAGGCAAATCAGATCTGGAATGACAAACCCCAAAACGACTTCTCACACTCTTCAACCCAAAAAGGGGCCAAAACGCAACAAAACTCAAAATGAGGAGATCTAATCATCTACAAGTCAAGGTATGAACTTGATATCTCAAAGAGACTACAAGAAGTGGAGGGATTCTGGATCTATAACCTTCCTTCCAAGCTAAGCACCTTAAATCTTCAAAGCTTCCTTTAGAAATGAGCAACATAACCACAAGAATCCACTCAAGGCTCAAGAACACCACCAAGAAAGCTTAAGGGACGAATTAGGGTCTTAGTGACAATGGAGGCTGGCAAAGAGGCCAACCAAGAGGACTTAAGGTCTTTAAATAGGGTGCAACACCCAAAAATTAGGGTTTCCTTCCCAGCCGCCAACACACCGTGTTAAGATACCACAACACGTCTTGTTGGTCCATCAATCTTCGCGTTTCTTCAGATCTAGACGCGCCGTGTTGGTTACTCCAACACGCCGTGTCCAACCCAAAAAGGGAAATCATTCCTTACAATTGCTTCTCAAGATTCCGGGTGCTATAGTTGTAGTGATCTGTTAGATCTGTGTCCTGGTATATGTGATGTTGCTATGCGGTAGTGATCTGTAGATCTGCTTGCTTGTCTGTTTGCTGGATATATATTATATGTTATGTATATGTCGACATAGTATGGTTGGGTTGAGGCAATGCTGCTTTGTGCGGAAGCTAACAAACCAATGAGCAAGCCAAACATAAGTTGTGGGATAAAAGGCAAGCCAGACTTATGTTGTGGGCTCAAGAGCAAGTCAGACATGAGTCTTGGGCTGGAAGGCAAGCCAGACTCATGTTGTCGGCTCAGGGGTAATCTACTATGTTAGTTGTGGACCCAATATGCATGTTGTTATATGTTTGTATGGTGGTACTTTGGGGGAACTCATTAAGCTTTGGTTTACAGTTTCAGTTTATTGTTTCAGGTACTTCAGATGATTGTGGCAATACGAATGCATGATCGTACACATCCTTCGCTGACATGTTTTCGAAGATTTTATGATATACTGATCTTGGGATATTTGTATTTGATACTTGGTCTTGATATGAGTTTTGTTTGAAAACAATGATTTCTTTTAATTTAAAAATAAAAAATTTTATCGTGATTTTGAAATGTTATAGTTTTTTTTGGCAATTTCTCCGAAAAGCATCCCCAATCATCACATCCAAATTATCTTATTTTCCCTTCATTTCATCTTGTGTTTTAACCCCCCCCCCCCCCCCCCCCCCCCCCCCCCCCCCCCCCCCGCGGAATTCCACTCCAAAGGGCAGTCGACAGATCGCAAGTGGGGCACACCAATATGTGATTTGGTTAAGAATTTCTAAAAGAAAAGGCTTTTATAGAAGGAAGCAAATAAATAGCATATGAAAGAGACCAAATAGCTAGAAGATGGAAATGACCAAATTGCAAATGAAAATGGACCAAATAGCAGATGGAATGAGCAAATCGTAGATGAGGCCTAGCCATATGCGATTTATTTGACTATTTTGTGACAATTCGGTTTTTTGTTATTTTTTAAAAAGTTATTAGGATTTTTGACTAAATTATATATTTTCTCTTAGATAAATCAATCAAGAAATAACATGCCTTCCTATTTTTTTTTTCACGTCCCATCTTTCCAAACACTTAAGATTATGATATTTGGAATATTTAATATCTCGTATCATCTTTCTACATATTTAAGATTATGATATTTGGAATATTTAATACAACTAATAAAATTTTATTATATTTTTTATGATCTAAAAATGATAGAAAGATAAATAAAATAAATAAGTAGAAAGATATTTAATTTCTCAATAATAAATCCACCTAATCACTAAATTATTCCAAAATAAAAGGGTCTTTTAGGCAATTCCTTCGGAAAACATCCCAGTCATCGCATCCAAAGTATCTTGTTTTGCCCCCGATTCCAAATTTCCAATCCAAAGGGGCAGCCGGCGGAAGGCAGGGGATCAGTTTGTATGTAGTTTGCGGTGTATAATGGAAGCAGATCCATTTCTAGGTTTCTACCCAAACAGAGGTGACAACAATGTCGCTGACGGTAGCCCTAACCTCTCCGATTTCTCCTTTACGCCGTTTCCAGAACATCAAGACAATATAGAAGCACAATACACACTTGACAATTCCTGTCAAGATTCCTCTTTGCCAATTGTTTCATATACTTCCCTCCTCCTCCTCGATCATTCTAAGTCTAAGAAGCACAAGTTTCACCGCTGCAAGACCGCACCTGCCATGGTCGTTATGCCTGAAAACCTGGAGAAATCAAACGACCCCAAACCCTCTCAAGCCGATTCCGCTTCTCTTGTCAGACAAGCTGCCCTTCTGCTGGTCATCTACCTCTCTTTGGGTGTCAGCATCTACTACTTCAACAGAGATCATTTCTCAGGGCTGGAAACCCATCCAATCGTGGACGCCTTATACTTCTGCATTGTGACTATGTGCACCATCGGGTATGGCGACATTGCCCCTGTGACGCCATCTGCAAAACTCTTCTCCTGCTTCTTTGTGTTGGTAGGTTTCGGGTTTATTGATATAATGTTGTCTGGGGTTGTGAATTACGTCCTGGATTTGCAAGAGAAGATGATATTGAATAGCACTAAAATGAATCACGGAGACGCAGGTGGTCACCACGTGGAAGAAAGGAGATTCTCTCCGATAGACTACGTATTTGATTTTGCAAAAGGGAGGATGAGGATCAGGTTGAAGGTTGGGCTGGCTTTGGGTGTGGTTCTTTTAAGTATAGGATTGGGGACGCTGGTGTTATACTCTGTGGAAGGTTTGGATTGGATTGATTCGTTATACCTGTCTGTTCTTTCGGTGACTACAGTTGGGTATGGAGACAGGGCATTCAGAACCCTTCCTGGAAGATTGTTTGCATCGTTTTGGCTTCTCTTCTCGACTCTGATGGTGGCGCGTGCCTTTTTGTATTTAGCCGAGGCCAGAATCCATAAGAGGCATAGGAGAATCGCCAATTGGGTTTTGCACCGTCAAATCACTGTCAAGGACTTGTTAGCTGCTGACATCAATAACAATGGCTTCCTTAGGTTGGTTTGTATCTCTATCTTCATCTCCATGTATTTGTTGAGTTTCCCTATAAACCTTCTTTTCCTATGTATTGTTGAGTTTCCCTATAAACCTTCTTTTCCAACATATCACATATTTAGAGTAATCTATATGTACTCCAATTAACAAGGTCTGTGTATTGATCACACTGATGTCAATGAAAGGACTCTAACCACAGCCCTAGGTCAAACCTTATATATTATGGTTGTCATCCGTTATACCCATCACTAACCAGTATAGTGGTGGTTGCCAACTCATCACCACACTACTGGTATATATCTCTTATTTTTTAATTTTTAAATAAAATATATATATTTTTTATTGTAGAGAGAGGTAGAAAAAGTTAGAGAGAGATAGAAAGAGAAAGAATTTGATTGGAGGTGGTGATCCGTGATTTGGACAACAATTCTTCACGACCACTAAGAACCACTAGGGTCCGGGATGGTGTGCACTAACCACGGTCGTGACCACCTAGACCACGACCTATTTCGTGGTATGCATACCGGATGGTCTAATAAAAATTGTTAGGGATCCATATATTGGTCTACGGATGGGAACCTGGTTTGAAATGACATGCTTGTTTTTTTGCATTCACCACATACAACTTTTATATAATTTGGTTTTCAGGAGAATGGGTTTTATTATTATAGGCAATCATTGATTTGTTTCAGTCACTTTATAATATAATTTTGAATCATCCCTCTTAACAAAAAAAAAATCATTGATAAAGAAGATAGCATGTGAAGTGTGAACCGCCAACAATCATAGGAATCTAAGGCACCTAACTCTTTTTATCTTGTTATCTTTTGGGATGGAAACGTAAATAGATACTGATAACCGCTTGTTTGGTGGTGATGGTGAAAGTAGGGAGACGTAAGTAAAGATGCTGCAAGTGCTTGCGTTTAAAGTATTGATTGTTGCTTATATTGGAAATTTGGTTGAGTAAATAATAATTTTATGTTATTTGTAAATGCAGCAAATCTGAATACATCGTGTTTAAGCTGAAAGAAATGGGGAAGATCGAAGAGAGAGAGATATTGGAGATATGCAAGCAGTTCAACAAGCTTGATGGCACCAATTCTGGGAAGATAACACTACGACGTCTCTTGGCAGGTCGCAACATTTAGTTTATTCTTCATTCCAAGTCCAAGCAATCGTTGGCACAACAATAAGTTATAAAAAGAAAACTGTACAAATGGATGTAATTAATGGTAATGTAGGGAAGATTATATTGGTGGAACCAGTAGCACAAAATATATTAAATTTTGTCAATTAAATATTAGAGGAAACCGTCCATACACATTACCTAATAAACCCTTGTATAATTGTGTTTATATTACATTTACATAAGTATTAGTCACCTGTAAGGAAATATACCCTACTAATATGTTATTTCCAACCATTTTTGTAACTATAGATCCCCATAAACATAAAGGCTACCCATTGGTTTTTTGGTGTTTTGAATTTCCGTTCATTCACGCTCACTATCTTTATAGATAGTTCCTAGCATATCAAATATTGTTAGGAAACCACAGACTGGCTCGCAACGAGTTTGTATCCACAAAATCTTAGTGGCTATTCAATAGGGGTAGTAAATCGGGCAGTCGTTCTGTATTTTTGTCTAACACGACACGACACAAATTAATTAATTTTTCTTAAGCCGAACACTGCACATCACAATATCGTGTTGTTGTTCGTTAACACGAACACGACACAATAAAAACATGACAAAAAAATGAAAAACACGACATTTCGTGTTCTTAGCGTGTCGAATTTTGAACACGAATTTGAAATTCGATTTCGTCTCAATCTCGTTTCATGTCATGTATTTTTATAGTGTTGTATCAACTTTTGTCACCCTTACTATCCAGCAAAGGGGTACCCAACCCTCCGATGCAATCCCCCTCGATATTTTCACATTTACACTTGTGTCGGCACAGACGTATCACAATAGTTCGATGAGAGACGGGATTGTGAGGTTTTTATATGTTGGTTCCTAGAGAGGCTGACAATGTCAATAAGCTAGCATTGAAAGTTGCACCACCAAATGGGTCGACGCATTTTATAGTTGGTTTGCACGTATAACATGGGATAAACGTCAAAAGTAGCAGTCTATTTAGACATATTATTATTTCAATATATATGAATATTTGATTTTACTCTTCTTTTTTTGTTGATGTAGAGAACGTGAGTTGGTTTTACTTATAATCATAAAATTAGATTTGTTGAAACACAATCTATTATTAGATAACTTCTAAACAGAACATAAATGACCATTAAAATTTAAAACATAATAAGTTAAAAACATGAAAGCACCTATCTTCTTTTTTTAGGAATTGAAATTTCAGATGTTTGTATATGAATTTTACTTTCTTTTTTATCGACCCATTCTTTCGTTCCATATATTTTCTTACAAATTTATCAACTATTCAACAACTTGGATTTCTTTATTCGTTCCTACCATCCACTTTTATTGTCTTCAATGGCTCGTATTTTATCCAACATTTGTTCCCAAAGTCCCTTAGATTTTGTTTTTATTTTTTCGTACTCTACTTCTTTGGCTTCTACCATCTTATCTTTCTTATAGATTCAAAGATACCCCAACGCCTTAGCTCATTTTTGGAGCTTGAATGTGTTGGGTTAAAGTGTCTAATGTCTTAACTAAATTGGTATATTGAATAAAAGTAAAGTCCTCTTGGGTTGCCCTCATAACCGGGAAATAGTTTGGATTGATAAGAGAGAGAGAGAGAGAGAGAGAGAGAGAGAGAAAATTTATTAATATATTATATGATTAATATATTAAATAGAAATAGTAATAATTAATTAAGAATTAATCAGAATTAATCGGAATTGATTTTGGGTTAATTAGAATTAATAAAATGTGCAAGGGTTGAATTACAATTGTTCAATAGTTGAACAAAGAAGGCAATTCTAGAACCCTCCAGTCTATAGACGGTTTTGAGAGGCTTTGGAAGAGTTCCGAAAGCCTCCTGAATCAGATAAGGAAACAAGATCTGAATAGGAATAAAATATTATTATTTTGTTATTCAAATCTAAGGTTTTAGGGTTATCTAGCAGCTATATAAATGATCCTAACCCTAAGCCAAAATCGTCCTATCCTCCTCACAGTAGAGAAATCTTTTTCTCCTTCTCCCCTCTCTCCTATTTTTATCCTTGGGTTTCCTAGGGTTTGGGTGTGAAACAGTGAGAGGCTTCCATATTGTTAGGGCTAGCATTCTAAGGAAGGGTTCTTGAAAGTAGGTTGCTATATTCGATTATAGCAAAAGGTATGTGTTTATTTCTATGTGATTTTTGAGTTACATAGGTTATTTAGGGTTTATCAAAGTATGTTGCTATTATGAAAAAAGCAATATAATTCTAGGTTACATGTGGCCATAATTGTATATGTGAAATTCCGCTGTAACGTCCTAATTTTCAACCCAAATTTGTCATTTTTATTTATTCAAGTATATTATAGTATAGTTACATTACGCGGAAACATGTTGCGAATGCGCTACAATCAAACCTTGCCCTTTTCACAAACCAATGAAGCTCCTGAAAAACATTTATAAACAACCGGGTAAGCACGAAGCTTAGTGAGTTTCCCAAAATACCATATACCACAATACATATACATGCATACAAACGATGGTTCACGATCAGCAATTAACATGTGTACTTACGGCCTACAAGCCATTTCGTTAACACGTGTGTATGTGTACTTACGGCCTTCACGTCATTTTGTTGACACGGGTCTATGTGTACTTACGACCTTCACGCCATTTCGTTGACACATGTTTATGTGTACTTACGATCTTCACGCCATTTCATCCACATGCGGGCCTATAGGCTCCCGGTCTCTTTGACTGTTCCGCCATCATCCCCTATCTAAGTGTAATAGCACAACAATTACGCACATTGAGATTGCACTCTAGATTTTACTAGTACGTGCACATTTATACTTTCTACTCTACTTAAGCACAGAGAGATTTTACTGATATATCTACTCTACCAGCTCTCTATCCTAACATACATATACATGTATTGTAATACATTGTATAGTGAGATAACTCACCTGGACATTTACTCAAATGATTGACATCTATCTGGGTGATTCTACCGATGATCCAACTGGCGGTTAACGCGCCTAACAAGTATTAACCTATAACACAACTTATTAATTCCTATGGGAATATGGTATTGAAAGCTAGATCTTTCAGTAATCCCAATGAATACCGAGAGTTCTATCAAATAAGGATCAGCTAGGCAGGACTGTTGGGAGGCAGGACCATTTCGGCATATAGCCTTTCTGAAATCCAACAACCAAGCCAACGTTACCATTCTAGTCACCTCTCTCGCACGTAGATAAATTAGTATTATTATTGGAATTACTGATAAATCTTATTTATAAATTCATAACAACGACTATGAATATAAATATAAGTTACACTTAAAGTGTAGCTTAACTTACAGGGATCCTAGAGAAAACCGGAATTTGTGCTGGCAAAACTCCTATCTGAGCAATTCTTTCTGCCCGACTCTCTGATGCCTCAAGGCCTCGCTAAAGTACTCCAAAAACCCAGAAAGGTCAGACTCGAGGGGTGGGAGGTCTCCAGAGAGTTTGGAGTGAAGAGGGTGTTAGGAAATGAAAGAAACCTGAGATGTCTATTTATAGTAGAGGTGTGCGGCGCACACCATAGAGGCGCACCACACATCTTTTCGGGGCTGGTGACGTGGCTTCAGTCAGAGAGTGGCACATGGAAAAAACCTGGTGGGCCGCGTCGGGCTGTCTTTGCATGGCGTGCCTTGTCTGCGCGGAGAAACTTAATATTCTTCAAAAATTCGTATCTTCTTCATACGAACTACGTTTCGACATTGTTTATATCCACGCGTAGCTATCGGCGAGATCTACAACTATCATTTAGACTTTGTCGATTAATCCTCACTTTATTTTTAAAGTTATATTTATAACAGGCTTAGACTGTTAAAGCCCGTACAAAAATCATAACTCTCTCATACAATATCCGTTCTCGACTGTCTTTATATGGACAGATAGGTACTGACAAGATCTTCTATTCCCGTTTAGATTGTTTTTCTCAACAATCGATCGATCCTAATTTAAGTTTCTGTGTCGCACACTGCTACGCTGCAACTTCTAAAAATCATAACTTCCTCTTATTAAGTTAGATTTAGAAGTTCCTTATATGCACACTCTCGGTTTTACGATTGCTATGAATTTTGTCAAGACTATTTATCCTGAATAGTCCTCTATCAAGAACGTCTTTTTACGTTACTGGTCGTTTATACTATAAGGCGAAAATGGGGTGTTACATCTACTGTGCAAATCATGTTTGATTAGTTTAATTTGAAACCTAAAAAACCCATCAGAATGATGGCTTGTGTTGAGAACGAATTTCGACCAGCCGGGAGACATTTTTAGAGAATGACTTAATGGATTTTGTTGTGAATAATTTTAGGATATAAGCTAATTGAAATAGATTTTGAATATTAAGGTATGTGAGAAATCTAATGATTTTGAGTGGTATGTAATAAATCATAAATAGTTAAATGAGTGTTTGTGTGATAAGAAAGTGGTAATTGAGGATAAAAGGGTAGGTAGGAGTTTGGTACTTCGATTCAGAAAAATCACAAAATTGGTCACTGTGGTTGACAAAAAAAATTGTACTTTTGGTCCAACAAAGTTTAGACTTGCACCAGTGGTTCAATTTTGGATCTTTTTGTGATTTTCGTCCCTCATGATAACAACCGAAAACTTTATTATGTAAAGTCAGTCACGTGCTGATCATGTGAGGGCATTTTTTTGGCATTTTACTAATTTGTTTCCTAATATTTAACTATTCCTTCTCGCACACACAAAAACACATAAACATACATGCATATGATACAAAATCATTAAATTTAAGACAAATCCATGTCTCCTTCCCATATTAATATCTATAAATACAAACAACTTTTCTTCAAGAACACATAACACCCACAAGATTAGTTCGAAGAACAAAGGAACATGAGGTGAAGATGAAATGGCTTGTAGTGGTTTTACTGGACGAAATAGATGTTAGTGTTACGAGATGGTAGGGAGTTAAAGACAGTGATTGTTGGTGTGTAGAGATGATGATCTAAAATGAAGAAGTGGGTCTTTTTGGGTCCAATAAGAGGTAAGCTCTAACTCGGTCTGAGTCAGAGCGTTTGATACCCTCAATTATCGCCTCTTACTCGGTTCTCAAGTTCTGACCTCGTCCTCTAAAAAAAGCTGACTGAGAAAGAGAACTTCATTTTCCCAATTACCTTCTC